ATAAAAAACTGCTTTTAGTTTTGCGATACCTGGCCAAATAACAGGAGAAATATATTAAAAAAAATGAATTACCCTCTACAACATTGGTTGTTTAACTGTCTACTAATATTCCAAACTTTTACAGCTGAAAATATCTGTATGAATAATCTAAGAATTTGACTACCTACTCCACTTTTCAATTCGCGTTTAAAGCAAATTTAAAATTGAAACTGCTTGTTCATCCGTTCGGGTATAACGGTAATCGATTAATTTTAATCCATCGAACACACCCATATATCACACATACATATAAAGAGTTCGAGGGACTAGAAAGTGTGTGTACCTTTACATCTTCAGCTTCATTAAAATTAGACGTGAATTTCTTGGCGTCCCGTCGGTAACGAGTATTGTCATTTGCTCGTACGAAAACGAAATGGAAAGCGTATGGAAATTCCATTTGGTGGTACGTGTTATTGCAATACGATCCTTTTTTATGCGCGACGACAAGACGGAAGGACATAGCTCATGTAGTGTCGTAAAAATTGTTAACAAGCCGACATATGGTGACGTGACATTTTCAATAGATTTGACAGACGGATGTATAACGGAAAATGAGATCCTGTCTCAAGGATGTTGGCTATTATTATTTATTTATACTTTTTCTTAATTTATTTATTATTTTATTTATTTTGTTTTTCTATATGTTTCTAAATTGCCGAAATGGGTTTTTGTGATGGCAAACCTGTGACCCGTGGGTAGTGATGCACGGTGGGTAAATACCAGGGTTGGCATGATTTAAATCAAATGATTTAAATCATGATTTAAATCTTGATTTAAATCAAGTGATTTTTTAAATTTTAATCATGTGATTTAAATCAACAAAATTATTTTATTGAAACTTTATAATAAATAAAAAAATAACTGTAAAAATTATAAAAATGTGTCCTAGAAAACTATAAAAAATATTAGCAGATATATAAGACAATAAATCGAAAAATAAGTATAAATGTTATAAAACTATATAAAAATATCTATTCAATTCAAATGTTAGACCGATTTCTGAAGTAATTTCGTGTGAATCCATTAGATCGCTCAACGCAGGGATTTATATTAAAATTTATGTATAAATGACAAAAATTCGCTGTTCGAATACATATCATTCCCAAAGTCTGCTGCCAGAACTAGGTTCTTTTGATATAGAGACTATAATATCTTCATTCCCGAGGATCTAAAATAAAATTGTTGTCAGAAAATATGTTGTTTTATTTTTTTTTAAACGGTTGTATGTTTCCAAATTCCTAGCGACATTTTGATCTGAAGTAAGTCCTTTACACTTTGACATTAGATAATATATACTAATTTTATTCTCGACCTAAGACTATTTCCGAACAACAGTGTATTGTTTTATTAGGAGTAAAAATTATGTTTTTTTTGACGATGCTGTATCTTTGAAGGACATCGTAAAACTATTCCGACGTTGCAGGAAGGCACAAAAAGTACATTTTTATTCTGAATAGAACATACTATTTTTTTAAACATTACAAATAATTTTTTAATCAATTTCAAACATTGCAAATAATATAAACAGTAATCGAGCAACAGTTTTTTACACTTAGGCGTAACAGTGCTTTACTTTTATGCCTAGGCATTAAAATGACAAACATTAATACTTTTGAGACATTTGAAAAAAAATCCTTTTCATCTGAAGCGGGCGACTTTTTTGCGGAATATATTGGTGACCGATGTGAAAAAATGACACGCGCTAATACAATTGATAATGTTATCGGTATCGAGCAGAGTTATAAAAATTTTTAGCCCTAAATGGCCAAAATTAATATGTATATAATAAGACTTTAATTGAAAATAAGTCCCAGTCATTTGGAAATCCGATTTAAATATTGTTTTGAATTAAAATCAAAAAAATCTGATTTAAATAAAAAAAATCTGATTTAAATAAAAAAAAATCAGATTTTTTTGATTTTTTTAAAAAAATCATGATTTTTTCCAACCCTGGTAAATACCCAATAAAATCTGGTACATACAGGGTGCTACATATTCGAGATACGAGCATTGGTATCTCGGAAACCGTAATAGATACGAAGATGGTTAAATTGGGACCAAGTTGCGCCTTGGGATGTTCACCAAGATTTCATAAAAAAAATCAAAATATTTCAAGGCTTGCTGAGTTATTTGGAAAAAACGGATTTTTTGAAAAATCAATTTTATTTTTTCCTGTTTCCTGTTACTTTTTAGAAAATCAAAAAACTAATTGCACATTCTAGCCAACAGATAGCCCCTGATAGTAATTTTAGATTTTTTTAGGTACGTGATACATAGGTCAACTTAATTTTTTAAATACGGACCTGCATTTTTTATTTCAGTTTTTAAAAGTACTCGGTGTCCTGAGTACAATAATATGCCACACTTAATATTTTTTGTTTTGTTTTGACATTTGAACACAATTTATTTAAACTAATTTCAAGTCCGGCTCTGTTTTTTTAAAATATTTAATCTATTCATCGTTACAATATTGATTAGCTTTCAAACTTAACAATGACGTGGGGTAAAACACTGAATACGGAAAATCAAATGCAATAAAATAATACGAGAACGGACAAATCCGGGAATCCGGGAGGCTATCGTATGGGTCCATTGGTTCCAATTCATTGATTTGGGAAATAGTAGTGTTACCAAATGAAAACTTGTCCACCCCGGGGCAAGCCTTCCCAAAAATCCGGACAAAATCCGGACGTCATATTTTTTAGCGATATACGAGCCAAAAATAGTATAATGTTTTATTAGGAGTAAAAATGATACTTTTGTGGCGAAGCTGTACGTTTGACAGTACAGGCGAGGTACAAAAAGTCACTTTTACTCCGAATGTACTATGCTATTTTTTTCAAATGTCACAAATAATTGTTTAAACAATTTCAACCGTCCCGAATAATATAAAAATATTTAAAAGCAATACCTTATAAGTAATTATATATCGAGAAACCATGCTTGTTGAATTTGACATTTTATGTCAGTTTAATAATATATTTTCGTACTTTTCTGCTTAGGTGTAAAAGTGCTTTACTTTTATGCCTAGGCATTAAAATGATGTTTTTATGTTTTCAATCACGTCGCAAAAATTAATACTTTTGTGACGTTTGAAAAAAAAATACATTTATAATTTTCTAAACTTAAAACTTACGAAGTAAAACAATGAATTTACACTGCTGAAACATATTATGGACGATTTTTTAAGTAACTATTTTTATTAAAAGTAATATATTATTTTGTATTATTGCAACATTTATTAATGGAACATTAAAATCCGGACGCTTATGAAAAATTCACCCGGACCCAAACGGATGTAGTAAAAATCCGGACGTCTGGTAACCCTAAAATAGTAATTTAACAAAATTCTAATATTTTCAAAGTCGTGAGGGGAAGCCTAATCTTGCTGAAAGTATATTTCACGTAAATAAAGTAAAGTTTCACGTAAACGTAGCTAAAGGAGTATCTAAGTTCCGGTACGATAGCTTCCAAGATTACAAATAGCGGTATAGAGTTAAGTTTCTCTGATATATAAAGAATTTATTAGTGGCTCCCAAAATAAAACAAAAGACAATAGGAGAACAAAATAGGAGAATAACCTACAAAAAGAAATGCGAAATTCCATCAAAAACATAGAATGTAAAAAAATGTCTCGCAACTCCCGTAACACAATTCTTCCATTATAAATTGTGAGATCTCATGTAAAACCGGCCGCCTATGTTAAAATGTTAAATAATGACATTTTATGATAATAAGTACAGAGTATACTATATTTTTAGAAAGTTCATGATAAGGCAAATAAAATGAAAAAATAATATATATAATATATTGTAAATAAGGTATTGTAAAACTTGGAAAATAAGTTCGTTAAAGTAACGTTTTTCTTATTCACTATTCTAATAAAAAATATGCATTCCTTTGGAAAATCTCTATTTATTTATCTAGTAATGCTAAAACACTCTATTCTCACTATTTTAAAAGTCGATTAGAGATAGGTATGATTCATTGGCAAGCAAAGTAAATATTTGTGATCAGGTAAAATTGTGATGTAAGAGGAGGCTTAGCTTGCCGGCGGGTCAGTAGTAGATGGGTCGGCCGGCTGTAGTGTAGTATTGTGTTGTTTTGGCACAGAGCTGACATTTGGAGGTTGCGAGTCTTTTGACTATTAAGGATGCGCGTCTTTTTGACTATTAAGGATGCGAGTTTTTGAATATTAAGGATGCGAGTCTTTTGACTTTTAAGGATGCGAGTCTTTTGAGTATTAAGGTTGCGGGTCGTTTGACCATTGAGAAGAAAACCTCTTGTGACGTCTTTCCTTCAAGTATGTCTTGAGAGTTTAGGGTCTCCCATGCTTCTCGAATTGGCACGATAAGGCGTTGGGGGCGTGATGTACCCCAATTAGCCTTATCGATTGGGATGCGAATCTGTTTAGCGGCAGATTTGCGTCCGGGGGAAGCCCCTATACTTATTTCAGGTGGCACTAGCTAGTTGTTGAAGATTAACCAATAGATTTGGCGGGTTGGTTAGCGTGGTTATTTGGAGGGTGTTAATTCATGGGTTAGTTGGTTATGTGGTGGGGTTGGTTGGTTTATACTAATTTATATTTGTTTTTTATATTTTTTTATCAGTGTCGACGTTAGTTGCGTTGGTTAAGTTGGTTATTTAGTGGGGTGGATAGCGTTGGTTAGTCATAAAATTCTTATATTTCATAAAGCTGTCAAGTGCGTCACATCAACGACGTCATACCTATTAACGGCATTTTAGTAAGCTACCGTTTAACGGCAGTTTAAGTACAGCCTTTGTGTTTAACAATTTTTCATCAGAACCTATAGTTAGAAAGATGATTTCCTACTTCATCATCGTAAAAATGTCGCAAAGTTTTGATTTCTATAATCAGTTGTTTACATTGATGATTGCTCTGCGCCTTAAGATTAATCTATAAATGTAGAAAATGGAATTGAAATAAAAACTTCTAAAAAGCAAAAATAAACATTTTATTTCTTAAGTATATCTATAACTAAATCAATACCAACAATTCCATTGTTCTTTAATAATTTTAATTCCTCAAATGTGGCTTGTGTGGTGGATATAATCTGAAATAATTCATTTTGAAAATAATACAAAGAAAATATAAAAAATTGTCCTTACTTCAATAAACTTCTCTAGTTTATTTTTAGGCAGATACTGAAGCAATACCGCTGCAACAACTTGCTGATTATTTATCAGGCACATTTCAATGTAAACACTAAAATCCAAAGCATATATCACAGGGCAAGTCTAAAAATAATAAAACAATAATAACACCAAAATAAAAAAAATAAAGAAAAACACTAAAAAATGAATAAATAATAAATAATTAATGCATTACCTGAAGCAATCTGATTGCTTTTATATATAAATCTTTCACATCGCTCTCTGATGTTTTAGATTTTGAACTGTTCGCCCCTAACGAGAAGGCGTCACTTAAGATCACATGCCATGCTTTAATAATAAACGGCGTTACACATCTGTACTTAAGATACTCCACATACTCCATCAATTCTTGGATCTTAAAAATGTATAGTATTGTTAGACTCTTAAAAATATGTAAATTTTATTTTTTTGCATAAAAGCAAATGGTTTTGACTGTAAATCTCTCCTGTTAGTAAAACCTACATTTGGTAAGATCTAAACTCATTCTAATAAGCTGCTGTAATTTTGATTTTTTCATGGTTTTGAGAGTACAAGGTGTCCCATTTTGGTTGAAATCATAGGGTATCTCCGTCATTAGTAAAGATAGGACGATGCGGTTTGCACAAACCTGTCCCACATTTTTGTCAAACGTAAAGTGCTGTCGTTTCTGGGCTACAGGGTCTTTTCAAAAATTTTGCAATTTGGGACAGCCACCGTATCTTTATTATTGTGAAAGGTATTGAGAAGACGAAAACTGATTCTTGTAGAACTTTTACGTAGAATACAGTGGCATAGTCTTCGTTCTACGAAAAAAATATTTTTGAAAATATAAACTAAAGTTATGTTTTTTTTAAACGGAACAACCTGTATATTTATAAATCATATGATCCCTCTTGCTACGAGCTTTTCAAAAAAGTATATCACTCAATGTTTATTTTCACTATTTACTGCAATATTTAAAAGATATAATTTTCTTATTAGTAGGCCGTGATAGATAACAAAAAAATCAAAATGGTATTTATTAAAATACTCATACACATATTGAAATTTTATTTGGAACTGAAATGTTTTACTTTTGATCTGTTACTACTGAATCTCTCAATATATTTTTCTTCTTTTTTTTTCATAACGGGATGGATGTTCAAATATCTAAAAGTTTGCTCGACAGAATTTTCCACGCCTCCGATATTGTTGTAGTTGCCACAATATATTTCATATTTCAAAAATCCCCAAAAATAGAAATCAAGAACGGACAAATCCGGGGATCAGGAAGGTCATCATATGGGTCCATTGCATTGGTCCCAATTCATTGATTTGGGAAATAGTCGTTTAACAAAATTCTAATATTTTCAAAGTTATGAGGGAGAGCCCCATCTTGCTGAAAGTATATTTCACGTAAAGGAATATCTAAAAGTTCCGGTACCGTAGCTTCCAAGATTTACAAATAGTGGTAGAGAGTTAAGTTTCCCTGATATATAAAGAATTTGTTAGTGGCTCCCAAAATAAAGCAAGAGACAGATACTATAAAGCATACTTTTAATATAATTATTTAGTTTCTTTTATTATTAATCATGGCGTGCTAATAAAAATGATCTTTTAATGAAAACTGCAGCAAATAATAAAAATTAATGTAGATTGATATATATTTTTGAGAAGCTTATGGCAAACCATATCATATAATTTATAAATATACAGAGTGTTCCATCTAAAAAAAAACATAACTTTAGTTCTTATTTTCAAATTTTTTTTTTCGTAGAAGAATAGACTACGCCACTATATTCTACGTAAAAAGTTCTACAATATACAGTTTTCACCTTCTGGATAACTTTCACAATAACAGAGATACGGGGGGTGTTAGGTTGCTGAATTGCAAAATTTTCAAAAAGACCCTGTAGCTCAGAAACGAAGAGGACTATGAAAATTTTGTTTACAGCATCTTCCATTTGATAAAAAAGTGGAACAGGTTCATGCAAACCGCGCCGTTTTATCTTCATTAATAACTGAGATACCGTATGATGTATGATTTCAACCAAAATGGGACACCCTGTACATAGTATTTGATTACCATATTGAGTTGAATAGCTGTCTCAACGATAAATTGCCAATATTTCAAATCGTCCAGCGCATATATTTTGCATAGGCTGGCTATGCACTTGATGGCAATGCGGCCATGGATCTGTGTTAGTTTTTTTAACAGTTTTTTCTTGTTCATTTCGTCTAATTGCTCGATGCTTTCCAAACAGACGCCCAGGTCGTTCATTTGAGCTATTACCGATGTTTTATCCATGTAAACTCTAAAATATAACATTATTTATGTATACAGGGTGGTCCGAACTGTATTCCGGAAACTTCGGCAGCATATTCTGCAGATAAAAATAAGTAAAAAAGTTCGTATAGATGTATGTCCTAAAATGCTTAGTTTCGGAGATGCAGGGTGTAAAAGTTTCATATTTGTTTCGATTTTTTCCAAAGAATTTCTAAAGTGACGTCAATATTTGGTTAAAATTGGTGTCTGGGAGTTTTTTGACATGAGAAACTTGATTTTGATGTCACTCCTATTTTTAGGGGCGCCACCTACATATGTTTTATCTGTTTTGAAGAGACTTTTCGTCCATACCTGTATATAACTACCGAGTGAAAAAATATACATTTCCGTGAGAGAGATTTTTTACGAAAAAAATAACTCTTTATAAAAATTGCTACGAGTAACCGTTAAGATATAACCCTCAAGATATTTAGAATAGAAATAGTCAATACATTTCATTATTGACAAAAAATAAACATATTGAGTAGACGGTTATTTGACTGAAATGATAAATTTGGGATTTTTTAAATTAATAATAAATTTTTCTTCAAAAAATGATGATAAAACAGTTTCTGTTGAACTTTTGGCACAAAAACATTTCAAATTTACGATTTCAGTCTAATAACTATTTAGTCAACGTGTTTAATTTATGTCAATCATGACAGGTATTGATTATTTCGATCCTAAATATCTCGAGAACCATTATTCGTAGCGATTTTTACCAAGATACTTTTTTTACGCAAAAAACCTCGTAAATATATATTTTCTTGTTCAGTAGTATTGTACAAGTACGGAAGAAAAGTTATTACTCTTCAAACCATCAGTTAAAAAATATGTAGGTGGCGCCCTCTACAAGTAGGAGTCATATTGACATCAAAATGAAATTTCACATGTAAAAAAACTCTCAGATACCAATTTTCATTCAAATATTAACGTTACTTCAGAAATTATTCGGAAAAAATCGAAATAAAAATAAAATGTTTACACCCTGTATCTCCGAAACTAAGCATTTTACGACATACATTTATACCAACTTTTTTAATCATTTTTATCTGCAGAATATGCTGCCGAAGTTTCCGCAATACAATTCGGACCACCCTGTATATATTTAATCTTTGTTCAGGTTATGGAGAATGCGCTAGGAAACTATTCATCGTTTTGTTACATTATAACTTCAGTAGTCCGGACGCTCTCTAGAACGGGTACTCCAGTAATTCGGACACGGTTAATTATTCGGGCATTTTAAAACAACTACCACTGAAATCTGGGCGCAAAAAAATCATAGGCGAAATCTCAGGATATTCCAATCTAGACAAGCAGAAACGCTTACATTTTGTTTATGAACTGAGTCTATATATTTCTGCATTGGATTATAGAGCGGGTTAAATGTAATAGTTCCAATCCAGCAAGCACATAAGATTCTTACACTCACTGAAAAACCTAAAATATTAGAGTACGCAGGAACAGATTATGGTTTCAAAATCTGCAGTGTTTAACATGCACAAAGAGAATAAAATAAGGACTTTTACAATAAAATAATTTCAAAAGCCAGGTAGGAATATCATTATCGATGACGTATTGTTTTAAAGGTAAATAAAAACAATTTAGAAGAGAAGAATAATCTAAACTTGAACTAGAGTATATCCATTGGGGGATCTTTGACAGTAACACTCGTGTCTCATTTTAAATTACAGGCAAATTGTATTTTCTGTCATTTTTTGGATATTGAACACTGAATCGTTGGACAAACTATACCATCATTGTACAACTGACTTATACGACAACGAAATGATTACGCTATTTCAAGAAATTCAAAGAAATTTCACGAACGAAAACAGAATTTTTAGCAAGTTATGAATTGCTAGATAAACTCTAGTTAGAGTACAAAACACGTTTTTTACTGCTTTCCAGTGATGTCATCGCCGCGCCGTGCCGTTTTCAAGATGAAAAGTCAGATCCACATTAAAAGATCAAAATACCGATTAAATGTTTATACCGTGCTACAACGCAGTATGAAATCAAGTTTTTATGGGAAACTAGGATTTATTTATTTATAATTTAGATTAATAAACGTTATTTTTGACAATTTTTTAGTTGTTTTCATTTTCAAAAGAAATAAATTTAAGTAGCTGCACTAATCCGGACATCTCGATAGTCCGGACGTATGCCGGAACGATATCTGACCGGAGTACTGAAGTTATACTGTATTCAGAGGCGGATACAGGAATTTATTTAAAGGGTGGGGGGCAAATAAAAAGTAATGTAGAATATGCCATTTTGTGACATTTTTAACCCAAAAGCCTAATATTTAACCCTTTGAATAAGAAGATTATAAAGGAAGGAGCATATCAAAAATCTTAGGTACACCGCGATGGGCCTCAAATATGGAAGACTTAAATTCCGGTTTATCAGTGTCGTTCTAATTTTATTTAAAAAATGTAAAACTATGATGTAGGGTAGACGTGGGGTAGACTCAATAATTTGTTGTTTTATTTTACGTTGTGAATAAATGTTTGTTTAATAATAAATTTTTCTTCAAAAAATGATGATAAAACAGTTTCTGTTGAACTTTTGGCACAAAAACATTTCAAATTTACGATTTCAGTCTAATAACTATTTAGTCAACGTGTTTAATTTATGTCAATCATGACAGGTATTGATTATTTCGATCCTAAATATCTCGAGAACCATTATTCGTAGCGATTTTTACCAAGATACTTTTTTACGCAAAAACCTCGTAAATATATATTTTCTTGTTCAGTAGTATTGTACAAGTACGGAAGAAAAGTTATTACTCTTCAAACCATCAGTTAAAAAATATGTAGGTGGCGCCCTCTCTACAAGTAGGAGTCATATTGACATCAAAATGAAATTTCACATGTAAAAAAACTCTCAGATACCAATTTTCATTCAAATATTAACGTTACTTCAGAAATTATTCGGAAAAAATCGAAATAAAAATAAAATGTTTACACCCTGTATCTCCGAAACTAAGCATTTTACGACATACATTTATACCAATCATTTTTATCTGCAGAATATGCTGCCGAAGTTTCCGCAATACAATTCGGACCACCCTGTATATATTTAATCTTTGTTCAGGTTATGGAGAATGCGCTAGGAAACTATTCATCGTTCTGTTACGACATTATAACTTCAATAGTCCGGACGCTCTCTAGAACGGGTACTCCAGTAATTCGGACACGGCTAATTATTCGGGCATTTTAAAACAACTACCCCTGAAATCTGGGCGCAAAAAAATCATAGGCGAAGTCTCAGGATATTCCAATCTAGACAAGCAGAAACGCTTATATTTTGTTTATGAACTGAGTCTATATATTTCTGCATTGGATTATAGAGCGGGTTAAATGTAATAGTTCCAATCCAGCAAGCACATAAGATTCTTACACTCATTGAAAAATCTAAAATATTAGAGTACGCAGGAACAGATTATGGTTTCAAAATCTGCAGTGTTTAACATGCACAAAGAGGATAAAATAAGGACTTTTACAATAAAATAATTTCAAAAGCCAGGTAGGAATATCATTATCGATGATGTATTGTTTTAAAGGTAAATAAAAACAATTTAGAAGAGAAGAATAATCTAAACTTGAACTTGAGTATATCCATTGGGGGATCTTTGACAGTGACACTCGTGTCTCATTTTAAATTACAGGCAAATTGTATTTTCTGTCATTTTTTGGATATTGAACACTGAATCGTTGGACAAAACTATACCATCATTGTACAACTGACTTATACGACAACGAAATGATTACGCTATTTCAAGAAATTCAAAGAAATTTCACGAACGAAAAAAGAATTTTTAGCAAGTTATGAATTGCTAGATAAACTATAGTTAGAGTACAAAACACGTTTTTTACTGCTTTCCAGTGATGTCACCGCCGCGCCGCACGGTGGGGTATTAGCATGAAAAAGGTGATCGAAATTCGAAAAAGCAAATTTGTTTAAGATTTCCCAAAAAAAGATAAATGATAAGTTAAATCATGTCTGCCATGAATGGAATTCATTCGTTTCAACGAAACGTCAAAGTTGTTACTTCTCACAGATAAGAGGTAAATGGCTAAATTTTATGTTTAAAATTATAAATTTTTGTTGTTCTTGTGCTCTTTTTACGTTTATATTATTGTTTTGATTGAAAATGGCTCAGCAAGCTGCAGGTATGTATTCTACAAAAACGTATTATTTATTTTGATATTCTCTATACTAACGATTTTTTTTGCAACTAAAAGTTAGGCGTTCAGAAAATTTGATTAAATTTGTGACATTTTTATTATTACTTAGAGATTTAGTTGCGCATTTCGAAAAATTCAGCATATTGTCTATATACGTTTTACTTAGTAAACATTGGGATTTCATACAGTAAAATAAAATACTGCGACTTTTTGCGACTTTGCTGATAAAATGAGAAAAACAGTCTTGGTTTCCTCTAATTTGCCAATCAGTGATATACTAATGCGAGGTGTAAACCGCGATGGCATTGTTGTGTACAAAGCGATCGCATTAGTGCCATTAGCAGTATAGCACAATTTGGCATTAGTAGCGACTTTAGTGGTATGGGCATTGCTCGCGGATCAGTCGTAGCATTAGTAGTATTAGTTGCGATATTACTACTGGCATTAGTGGCATTGACCGTGGAAACACTGGAACAGTGGTTTTTCTTTCTTTTTTTTAGAATCGACGAATTATCCTTTATTTTGTTCATATTATTTCCTCTTTAATTGAAAACAGCAATAATTTATATAAGGTCTACATAAAAAAATTTCGATCAACTATCTGTGTCAAATACCCCACTGTGCGCCGTGCCGTTTTCAAGATGAAGTCAGATCCACATTAAAAGATCAAAATACCGATTAAATGTTTATACCGTGCTGCAACGCAGTATGAAATCAAGTTTTTATGGGAAACTAGTATTTATTTATAATTTAGATTAATAAACGTTACGGACGTATGCCGGAACGATATCTGACCGGAGTACTGAAGTTATACTGTATTCAGAGGCGGATACAGGAATTTATTTAAAGGGTGGGGGGCAAATAAAAAGTAATGTAGAATATGCCATTTTGTGCCATTTTTAACCCAAAAGCCTAATATTTAACCCAATTTATAGATTTTAGGAGGAACGTCATTCCCATGGCCACCTCTGTAACCGCCACTGATTGTATTTAAAATAGTTAGTTCTCAATTAAAATATTGAATACTAATACATGGATGGGACACTAAAGACACACTATAGACTTACCGGAACTCCTCATGGCTTATCTCAGTCATGGCTTCTATAGTTTCCATGTCCGTTATGTAATAAAAACATCTCAAAGCATTAGCTCTGTAGGACATATTAGATTCTGAACCATCTTTGTTTGTTCCTGCTTTAAGCAACAATTTCCTCCAAATATCTGCGTCAGATCCCAAACACATATAGCACGCCCTGTAATATGGAATTTTTGCATCAGAACAACATTAATATATCTCCAAAAAAGTCCTGTATGGGTATTTTGCCACTGCAACATTTTAACAGAACGTCAACGGTTTTTGTAGACGTATCTGTTTAAGAAAAACTAAAGTATTCTCAAATAGTTACATTTAAATATTTTAAAGTTTTTTTCTTTATTCTTTGTATTTTTTTGCTTCCAACAACAGAAAGAGATAACTTTCCGACACTATCCGACACGTTAAGCATTTTTTTGTTCGTTAGGCAAATTTGTTTATCAGTAAACCTAACTGCTGACAATTAGTTTCCGTTGGATTAACGCAGCAGTGTTTACAAAAAATAACTATTTTATTTTGTAGATTTTCTACAGTGGCGAAATACCCATAGAACTTTTTTGGAGAGATGAATCCGCCACAGAGGTATAGACGTTTTTTAACATTAATATAACAGAGCCTAAAATTCGTACCTCTTAATAGAGTTTGATTGATCAAAAGAATGAGTGTGAGCCACTTGCACAACGGTCGATTCCAAATCGAACAAAGTATTTGACTTCAAAAGCTCTGACAGTAATTCAAATCGAATTTTCTTAGCCACCAGGTTAAAAATATTACATAACTCATCAACTGCTGTATTTATATCTGTAAATAATCAAGAAATGTAATTTAAACCCTTAAACGTATAAAATCGTTAAAAAACCTGGACAATAAAAATCCACGCTTTCCATTTCCCTTACGATTCTATGATCGTTATATAGCTCTGCTATTAAAGTTTTGGGCTGGTTGACAAGATCTAAGTAATTTGCGTCTGCCAACTGATGCTTGTGCAGAATATGCATCGCTAAGTAATTATAGTACCTTTGCTTAACCTGGAATAAATATGAATTATTTAGTATGTCGAAAGAATGTACAGGGTGTCCCATTTTCGTTGAAATCATACGGTATCTCCGTTATTAGTGAAGATAGAAGGGTAGGGTTTGCACAAACCTGTCCCACTTTTTTGTCAAACGGAACAAAACGTAAACAAAATTTGCATACTATGTATGCAAACTACTACCCTACTACCCTCTTCGTTTCTGAGCTACAGGGTCTTTTTGAAAATTTTGCAATTTGGGACACCCCCTGTATCTCTGTTGTTGTTAAACGAACACTGTTGAAAACTGTTGCTGAAAAGAATATTTTTAAAGATATGAACTAAATTTATGTTTTCTTAAACGGAAAACCCTGTATATTTATAAATTATATGATCTGGCTTGCCATAAGCTTCTCAAAAATATATATATATATCACTCTATATTTATTTTCACTATTTACTGCAATATTTAAAAGTTTTTATCAAAAGATCATATTTATTAGTAGGCCATGATTGTTAATAAAAGAAACTAAAGGATTATTAAAAGTATATACTGCTATCTGTCTCTTGTTTTATTTTGGGAGCCACTAATAAATTCTTTAAACATATATAAGGGAAACTTAACTCTCTACCGCTATTTGTAAATCTTGGAAGCTATCGTACCGGAAATTTTAGATATTCCTTTAGCTAATTTACGTGAAATATACTTTCAGCAAGATGGGGCTGCCCCTCACAACTTTGAAAATATTAGATTTTTGCTAAATTAAATTGTTATTTCTAAAATCAATGAATTGGTACCAATGAACCCTTATGATGGCCTCCCCGATTCGCGGATTTGTCCATTCTCAATTTCTGATTTTGGGAATTTTTTAAATATATCGTGGCAACTACAACAATGTCGACCACCTTAAAAATGATTTAATAATACAAGCTTTTAGATATTTGCAAACCCATCCCGTTAGAAAAAAAAGAAAAATATATTGACAAATTCAGTGGTAACAGTTCAAAAGTAAAATATATCAATCCCAAATAAAATTTTAATATGTCTATGACTATTTTAGTAAATACCATTTCGATTTTTTTTGTTATTTATCTCGGCCTACTAATAATAAAATGATATATTTTAAATATTGCAGTAAATAATGAAAATAAATATAGAATGATATATATTTTAGAACAGCTCATAGCAACACAGATCATATGATTTATAAATATACAGGGTATTCCATTTGAAAAGACATAACTTTAGTTCACATTTTCAAAAATATTTTTTTCATAGAAAAACAGATTCCGCCACTGTATTCTACCCGTAAAAAGTTCTACAATTTTCACCTTCTCGATAACTTTAAAAATAACAGACACACGGGGGTGTCCCAAATTGCAAAATGTTTGAAAAGACCCTGTAGCTCAAAAACAAAGAGGGCTATGAAAATTTTGATTGCAGCATCTTCCGTTTGACAAAAAAGTGGGACAGGTTTGTGCAAACCGCATCCTCATATCTTTACTAATAACGGAGATACCCTATGATTTCAACCAAAATGGGACAGGGTACTAAAGAAAAAAAAATTCATTAACCACCTTATTATAAATCTTGTCTACATATTCACTCGACATCGACTCCTTGTAAGCTTTGGCATATTTATAGCTGAGCTGTGCTATATTGACTTGGTCGGCTCCAGGCGGCATATTACCCACCAGGGAATATACGGCTGCTGTAGCTCTTTCCAAGTCAGTAATATTCGAAGCACATTCGTCAATTTGGGCCACTAAATGCTCATACTTCGAGTATAATTGCCATTCTTTGGGGTTTTCTGACACTTGTGCAGGCAAAGCGCATTTTATAGCGTATGTACAGATATCCTGTTTGTTGAGATACTGGCCGAGAATACTGGTTAACTGGAACCATTCTTTATAAGTTTGTAGGTTTACTTCGGGTTTTATTATATTCCAGATGTCGTTTGAAAAAAATATATGGGTAAGTGGCAGTCTATACGCTGACAATTCGTCTATGTTTACTCTTTCAGGGAAAGCGCCATACCACTGTTCCCTCTCCGAACGTGACGGTGGGCCTACCCTTGTATAAGTCTTTAAGAACGACAATAACGGGCGGTAAAGTTCGAAGTTTTTTCGTACTTTTCCTATGGCAGTGTCAATCATTAACAAAATAATGTATACTTCGTAATAGTAGAAAGAAATCTAAAAATCAACATTATAATACGGAGTTTGATCAAGAGTTAAACTTACTTTTGACCAAAGATTTTTAGTCAGCTCACTTAGTCCCTCTTTGTCATTAATAAGCTGAATAACAAGAATACACAGTTTTTCTAACGCGTCTTCGTCATTTTTAATAGCAATAGTCTTTTTGCCGCGAACATCCTGTAAATATTCTATTTCAGGTTTCCAAGATAAGATGATCCTAAAAGAATATTTTTTATTTTTATAAATAACATATGATATAACTTCGACAAGTTTAAAGATATATACAGGCTTGGTGCATTTCAGTTTATTTTCAAAAATTCCAACTACAGCTCTCGTTCGTGTTATTACTAACCTAAATAATTTTATTAGCTTGAGTAATAAATTATAATACACATGAAGGTATCAAAACTCTTACATTTTTTATTTTTTTTAGAATTTTTCACAAATTGCATTTACTAACACTTTTAAAATATAATTATAACAAATTTTTCATGTACTCTACATTTAAACCCGTATATTTGTTTAGTCGGCTGTTTACGATATTCTCCGATGGTGACAGCACCGGTGAAGAATGCACCCAGCCTATAAATATAATCTACACGGAACGTTTACATGTACAGGGTGGGTCAAATTCGACGCTTTTAAATGGAAACATCCTTTTCTATAGGAGATAGACGAAAACTAATATCGGTGTCTGGAGCTCAATTTTCATCAAAAATATGATGGTGAAAACCGCACATCAATATCTGCTACCGTTTCGGAGTTACGGGGTGTTTTTCAAAAATGTGCATTTTTAACAAATCGCTGTAACTTTTTTGCTATGGAAAATTTTGTATTTTTATGAAAACATTTCCAAAGCACCTTTTTACGTAGAATTTAATGGTTTAAGTATAATTTTTTTTAAATTAATAATTTAAGAGTTATCAACAGAAAAATTGATTTTTTATTTGGGACATCCTCTATATTTTTAATTAACTGAAAAGAATTTAAAATTACCTTTCCAAAAATATAGCACACTTGATATTTTGTTATAATCCCCTTCGAAATACAGAATTTTTAAAAATACGCCATCTTTAACTAGTAGGCTTTGGACCCCTTATTGATGATATGCCCTTAATGGAACTCGAAAATATATTTTTCCAGCAAGACGACGCACCGCCTCTGAAATCTGAAGTTATCAGCAAATTTTTGCAGCTAATTTCAAGAATAATTGAATAGCTAACCAAGATCCCAGCCGTTGGCCGTCGAGACCGCCTGACTTAGTGCCCACGGATCTAATCATATGGATATATTTGCGGAAGAATAAATGTTCCTTATTCTTCGGTATAATTTAGACAAGAATTAGAAATACATAGCAGTTATGAGAGGGTAACTTTCACCCCCACTGGGTTAATGAATTTTGCGAGAAATGTTCAAAAACTGCCCCGTCTGTCCATAACAGAAGGCGGTTGATCTGTCGAACACCTGTAGCAAAATCTCTTGAAAAAATGTCTTGGTTTGCTATTTATTTTTATTGTTATTAGATATAGTTTAAATGTATTGATGTTGGTTAAATATATTTTAAATTGTTATAAAATTCTGCATCTCTCATAGCAAATATTATTTTCGTTTTAATTGATGCTCACAGCTAGAATTTTTTTGCATTACAGCCGGTGCCCTTCAAAGCCTACTTATTTAAAGCGGGCGAATTTTTATATACTCTTTATCTCGAAGAGGAATCAAGCAAAATATCAAGTGTGTTATATTTTTGGAAAGGTAATTTTAAATTCTTTTCAATAAATTAAAAATATACAGGGTGTCCCATATAAAAAATAAATTTTTTTGTTGATAATTCTTAAATTATTAATTTTAAAAAAATTATACTGAAACCATTAAATTCTACGTAAAAAGGTGCTTTGGAAATGTTTTCATAGAAATACAAAATTTTCCATAGCAAAAAAGTTACAGCTATTTGTTAAAAATGCACAGTTTTTAAACACTCCGTAACTCCGAAACGGTAGCAGATATTGATGTGCGGTTTTCACCATCATGTTTTTGATGAAAATTAAGCTCCAGACACCGATATTAGTTTTCGTCTATCTCCTATAGAAAAGGGTGTTTCCATTTAAAAGCGTCGAATTTGACCCACCCTGTACAGGGTGTCCCATTTTAGTTGAAATCATACAGTATCTCCGTTATTATTAAAGATAGGAAGATGCGGTTTGCACAAACCTTTGCCACTTTTTTGTCAAACGGAAGATGCCGTAAACAAAATTTTCATAGCCCTCTTCGTTTCTGAGCTACAGGGTCATTTCGAAAATTTTGCAATTTGGGACAGCCCCCGTATCTCCGTTATTATAGATGATATCGAGAAGTTGAAAACTGATTCTTGTAGAACTTTTTACGTAGAATACAGTGGAGTACTCTGATTTTCTGCGAAAAAAATATTTTTGAAAATATGAACTAAAGTTATGTTTTTTTCAAATGGAACAATCTGTATATCTATAAATCATATAATCCACCTTGCTATGAGCTTCTCAAAAATATATATCACTCTATATTTATTTTCACTATTTATTGCAATATTTAAAATATATCATTTTCTTATTAGTAGGCCGTGATATATAACAAAAAATCAAAATGATATTTACTAAAATAGTCATACACATATTAAAATTTTATTAGGAATTGATATAATTTAATTTTGAACTGTTACCACTGAATCTCTGAATGTATTTTTCTTTTTTTATAACGGGATGGGTTTGCAAATATTTATAAGCTTGCATTATTAAAAGCATTTTCAAGGTGTTCGACATTGTATTAGTTGCCACGATATATTTCTTATTTCAAAAATCCTCAAAATCAGAAATCGAGAACGGACAAATCCGGGAATCAGGAAGGCCATCATATGGGTCTATTGGTTCCATTTCCTTGATTTAAGAAACAATAAGTTAAGTTGTGAGGGGGAGCCCCATCTTGCTGAAAGAATATTTCACGTAAATTAGCTAAAGGAATATTTTTTAAAAGTTCCGATACGATAGCTTCCAACATTTACAAATAGTGGTAGAGAGTTAAGTTTCCCTAATATATAAAGAATTTATTAGTGGCTCTCAAAATAAAACAAGAGACAGTAGCAGTATACTTTTAATAATTCTTTAGTTTCTTTTATTATCAATCATGGCCTACTAATAAATATGATCTTTTAATATATATTTTTTTTTAAATATTGCAGGAAATAGTGAAAATAAATATAGATGATATATATTTTTGAGGTTGGCATGATTTAAACAAGTGATTTTTTTAATTTTAATCATTGATTTAAATAAAAAAAAATAATTTTATTAAAACTTTATTATAAATCAAAAAATAACTGTAAAAGTTATAAAAATGTGTCCGAGAAAACTATAAAAAATATTTCTGCAAAAAAAATATAACAGATAATAAATCGAAAAGTAATTGTAAATGTTATAAAACTATATAAAAATATCTATTCATCAATTTAAATGTTGGACCGATTTATGAATTAATTTCGTGTGAATCCATTAGACCGCTAAACGCAGGGATTTATTTTAAAATTTATGTATAAGTGACAAAAATTCGCTGTACGAATACACATCATTCGCAGTCTAGTGCCAGAACTAGGTTCTTCTGATATAGAGATTATATCTTCATTCCCGAGAATCTATAATAATCGTTGTTTTTTTTTTGAAATGGTTGTATTTTTCCAAATTCTTACCGACATTTTGATATGCAGTAAGTATTTTACACTTTGACATTAGATAATACTAATTTCATTCTCGACTTAAAAGTATCTCCGAACAATAGTGTATTGTTTTATTAGGAGTAAAAAATAAACTTTTTTTGATGATGCTGTACCTTTGAAGGACCATCGTAAAGCTATTCTGACGTTACAAGGAAGCACAAAAAGTACATTTTTACTCCTAATAGAACATACATATTATTTTTTTAAAACATTACAAATCATTTTTAATCAATTTCAAACATTGCAAATAATATAAACAGTAATCGAGCAACAATTTGTACACTCGTTGAATTTGACACCTAATATCAGTTTAATAATATATTTTTGTACAGCTGGTTCCAAAAAAAATGAATACGACTCTTTACACATTTTTTTAGAATATTTGGGCAGTGTATATTTATGTGTCAAGTATTTTGACATGTTAAGGTTATTGTGACATTGAGGTCATTGTGTCAGAACGTCAGTATGACATGAGTAGGGAAATGGGGGACTGGTATCATAGAATATACTGCCCGAAATAATAAAAATATGTTTTAAATCGTATTCAATTTTATTGGAACCAGCTGTACTTTTGTGCTTAGGCTTAACAGTGCTTTACTTTTATACCTAGGCGTTAAAATGACAAAAATTAAAACTTTTGAGACATTTGCAAAAAAAATCCTTTTGATCTTAAGCAAGCGACTTTTTTGCGAAATATATCGGTGACCGATGTGGAAAAATGACAAAACTCACCCTAGAATTATTAATGTTATCGATAACGGGCAGAATTATAAAGATTTAGGTTAGGACTTTAATTGGAAATAAGTCCTAGTCGTTTGGAAATCCGATTTAAATATTGTTTTGAATTAAAATCAAAAAAATCTGATTTTTTTGTTTTTTTTTAAAAATCATAATTTTTTCCAACCCTGGCTTATGGCAAGCCAGATCATAAATTAATAAATATACAGGGTGTTCCATTTAAGAAAACATAACTTTAGTTCACATCTTTAAAAATATTATTTTCGTAGAATAACAGAGTACGTCACTGTATTCTACGTAAAGAGTTCTATAATAAACAGTTTTCATCTTTTCGATACCTTTAACAGTAACACAGATATAGGGGGTGTCCCAAATTGCAAAATTTTCAAAAAGACCCTGTCGCTCAGAAAGAAAGAAGGCTATGAAAATTTTGTTTACGGCATCCTCCGTTTGACAAAAAAGTGGGACAGGTTTGTGCAAACCGCGCCCTTCTATGTTCACTAATAACGGAGATACCGTATGATTTCAACTAAAATGGGACACCCTGTACACTGTACAATCTGTGTAGACAAAAAAACGGCCCGTTTTATTTTACTTGAACTGAAAAGGGGGATGAACACCCCTCCCCAAATAAAATACGTAAGTACTTACGTTTCTAAATAACTTTTGTATGATTCCTGAAGATCCAGATTAAAGTCAGTACAATATTCCTGAATGTTATCTAAATTCACGTAATTTGTTATAACCAAGTCTCTCAACCGCTCGTCGCTTTGCTGCGTAAAGAAAGTGGCATAATGCATTTTGGTCCCTTTCAACTTTAACCACCATTTGCACATATTAGAAATGTTATTTAAGTGTGCCATGCCTTCGAGTTCGCCATAGTACTTAAGCAATTCCAAACCGACTTGGGCAATAACAATAAGTTTGGTGGGTCTTTTCTTGTACAATTTTAAATATTTCTGAAGGGTAGGTCCGAAATTTGAGCCTATCATCATCATCAAATTGTAAAATAACGATTTATCGATGTGTTGGTGAGAAAGGACAACGTCAATCATTTGAGGCAACCAAGTACCATATAAATACGTTTTTAGGCAATTTAGTGTATCTGTCTTTATGGTTGGATCAAGCATTAAGCCATACTGTAGAGTTTTTATCATGTTATAAGCAGTTAAGTGTTGATCTTCTTTTAGAAACATATTTAAGTTCCAAGTAAACTGTTTCAGTTCATTAAGAAGTTGTTCCTAACAAACATAAAATTATTTTTAAAAGATTTATTTATAATAGAATGCGGTATTAATTCTACCTGATCTATCTCCATTTTTGACGAGAACTGCGTTAAGTACTTCATAATTGGTATTTTACAACAATCTGAAATAAAAACCAATTAGTCAACATCAATATTAGAAGACAGTAAGAATAATTAATGTCAATTTTAGCATTAAAAGCTTGCCATTAGAAAAATTCGCAATTTTTAAATTTATTGCATTGTCATGCCTCCGTTCATCGGATATACGATTTTCTTGTGATTGGTGTCATTTTATATTTTCATTTCTATAACGATTTCACTGATTCACTTATAGGCTAAGAGCTAACATCGTTTTCTAGAGAGAATTTTAAGCTAGTTTGCTATGCTCTTCCGAACAGAGTGCGGACCGTCTCGCTACCGGTAGCGTTCACTACTGCGCATCATATCTGTTTTCAACATCTATTCACTACTGCGAATCACAAATTCGGCCTATATGTTTATTATAAAATTAGAAAAGTAATGTGAAAATCGCATTATTGTATCTCTACTCATAAAGGAGAAATCCCATAAAACACACGAAAATGGGATACCCTGCACAGATGTGATGCGCAGTAGTAAACCGCAGTAGTCTAACGGCAGCCCGACGCACAGTGCATAGATTATATAGGATGACGGGACAACAATCATAGCGCTATTACTATGCATCCGATTTTGTTGAAACTTAATACCCAAAGGTTTTTGAGGTTGTAGATCAAGAATTTGAGGTCAAAATTAAGGTCAGAAAATTCTGGATATTTTTTATTTCCATAATTTTGAAAATAAATAAAATAAAATGTATAATATCTAATATAAAACCAGAAAAGATATATTGTCAGACAATATATAATATTCTAAACTAACTCAAAATGCCCTATTGGTAAGTTTTTAAACTAGTAATTTAGGAAAATCTGGTGATCATTTTTGAAAAAATTAATCTAAAGATTATTTTATTTTTAAAGTTATAAAACAAGACCCTTTCCTAAGAAAAAAAAATAAGACAAAAAAAATCCACGTACAGGGTGATTCATCATAACTGAACCCCCCTTTAACTCGTTTATTTCGTCTCGCACTAAAAAGTGATTTTCCGATTTTTCTAATTTTACACTCAGAAGACAGTCGCTGACAAACCCTAAACAATTTTACTGGATAATGGAGTTTGAAAATAATATGTAGTACGCCATTTTGTGGTGGTGGCCATTTTGAAGATACTGAATACATATATAGATACCTAACTAATTGAATTGTCATCAAAACTAAAGGTGTATACCAAATTTTGTATCAGTAGGTCGACAACAAGTTGCTGAAAATTGAATTACTAGATTTAACAAAAAAAAAAAAAGATAAAACCGTTTATAAAAAAGTAAACAGCAAGTAGGAGCATACAAACTCTACATGATATGAATTCTAAATAATTAGGCGACAAGAAAAGGCTTAAACTACAAAATTATATTTCATGATTTTTTTTAAATCCAATTTGAAAATAGATAACCAAAAAATTTGTATTGATTTAGGATGGCATTGTGTTAAGCGTAGGAAAAAAATACAAGTAAGTCGGCACCCAAAGCAAATAAATTGTTTTAAAGTACACACCTGACCTATGTCCTCCATAATTTGCAGGGGGTTAATTGCAAACCTTTCCACTTTTTAAGCGCATTTTCAAGCACAAAGATAAATTATTAATTCGCTTGATAAGAGACACGGATTTAAATCAATAGTTTGGCGGGTGATAAGAAATGAGCCGCAACAAAAACAGGTTTTTTATGTATTTATCATTTCAGTTGTATTATAAATCATCGATTTCGCACTGAAATTGAAACTTGCTTTCTTTATTTTTAGGCATTGTTCGATGCACTGTGCGACGGCCCGCACTTTGGTCAGGAGAGCACAGAAGAGCATAGCAAAAAATACAGGTTGTTAATTTGTTTATTACTCGCGGCAAGAGCTTTATGGTTGAAATACGGCAACCTCGGCGCACTCGTCGAGAGACGACGTGACAGGACGAGTCGGCAGCTTAGCTTAGTACTCATTTGGAATGTAGACAGTGTTGCCCATTCTGTTCCCCAATAAGTAACCGTCCAGTTAACAATCTGTATATTAAAGAACCAGCTTTCTTCAAATTCTCGTTTTTCCGACGATGATAGCTCTTGTACTATTATAATTTTATTACGATTGGATTAAACTTGTCAAAAAAGTGTCAGAACGTCCGTTATCGTACGATCTTTCTCCGTTGACGGGCTAGAGTAAAAGAATTACGGATTAAAAGTGGCGCAAAAACGCTATGGCCAATCAGAGCGCCGTCGGACACATCGTATCAACGGATAACGGACGCATGAAAATGAAGCTTAACTGTGCTGCACAATAAATCATAAACTTTTAACATCTCTTACCAATATAAGAACAGTAAACATTAAAAACTTTTTTAATGCTTTCAAGGGATGACACAAATGGGTAGGCTCCTGTTCTTGGAAGATAAATTTGGTGTACGTCTTCATTTGTATAGTTCTTTTTTAAATTAGTAATTAAATAACAAGAATTGATCCACCTAAAAACTTCCATGATAGCCAGGTGGTCATCTGGAGTGGCGTGGTTTATCGCTTTGATGATTAAATCTCTCGCCAAACAAACTCCATTCAAATAATACTCATCTTTATTGGGGACATTGACCAAAACATCTAAAAATGTCTCGTTCCCGTCTTCGATCATGTCGTTCTTTAAAAATCTGAAAAGATAAACTGCACAAAAAGCCAGGTTTGCTGAATTGCTCGAGGAATCCAAGACGAATCTCGCCAGTTTTAAAATATTCTCAAAATCGATTTTTTCTAGCAGCTTTACCAAAATTGCATCTATCGGTTCTTCCATGTACCAAGACACTTTTTTTGCTAATAAAATTATATGTTCAAAAACAGTCTCGTCTGAAATGTAATAAAAAGAAATATTATTATAAGGTGTAATTCAGGAAGACTAGCTAAAGGATTGAACATATTTTTATAGTTTATTACTTTAGATTACACAGGGTGGCGCACCTCATTCACCTCGATTGATTATACGAAAACGGAAAGATGTAGAAACAAAATATTTAATAGGTATATGTGGGGAGACTTATAAAATATACAGGGTGTTTCAGAACTAAGATCGATACCAAAGTTATATGGAACACCCGGTATTTTATTTCATTTTTGAATTCTTGGGCCCAAAAAAGGTATTATTATAAGGGTTAAATATGTTTAAATTCTTTGGTTTTTGAGATACTTAGAGATATTTAAATATGCTTGCTACAATAGAATACCATATCAACACCCTGTTCATTACTTTTCAGAATTAATTATTGTGCTGAATTTAAAGGTAGAGAAATAAACTTTATTGAAAAATTTTATTGCTTTCTTGAATTTATATAGAGGTACCAAAAATTGTTGATCTATTTTAAATATTTAATTTACATAAAAACTTCGTTATTTCAAATGCAACACCCTGTATATTTTAAAATAAATCGAAGCAGATTTAAATGCTCTTTCAAACTATATTAGGATTTTCTATACCTATATCTAGCTCAGATCTTCTATACCTCATATCTACCTTCTATACCTAGCTCAGATTTTGAAGAAAAAGAGCTTTTTCAATAAAATGGCAGTCAAGATAGCTGATATTGTCATGGCAATTTTCTAGTGACATTTAGTAACTATTTTCAAAATCGACATTAGTTCATGAACATTATTGTTTAGATTTATAACAGTTTACTTAAATTTTCCCATAATGGTTTAATATGTAATAAGTAATCATTATTTTATTAAGAAAAACAAAGCAGTATCTACCGGCGGAACGAATGGATATGTTACTAGTGATTTTATTTTGAGAGGAAAATTGCTTCTTAGCCAAATATATCCAAATAGGAATCTTCCTGATAAACGTTCCTTAGAAAAACTACTTGTCCTATTTCGCAGAAGTGGTTGTGTGGTTTATAAAAAACTTATTAGGCAGAAACCTGTCGTTGGAAGTGAAGAAAATTATTTTTTTTATAGAAAATCCATACATCTACAACTCATCGTAAAATAAATCAAAGAACTACTTCTTTGTTTTTCTTGATAGAATAATGAATACATATTTAAAAAATATTATTTATTAAAGTATTGTAGGTTAATTATAATAAATAATAATATTAATAAAAGTAAATTGCTATTAGTTTAAATAAAGTCCATAAACTAACTTCGACTTTGAAAATAGCTACCGTTATTAGAAACTTGACGACACCAGCCCTCTTGGTTGGCATTTTATTGAAAAATTGCTCTTTATTGAAAATCTGGGCTATACAGATGGGTACTGGAAACCCTAATATAGTTTGATAGAACATTTAAATCTGCTTCGATTTGTTTTAAAAAATACAGGGTGTTGCATTTGAAATAACGAAGGTTTATGTACAATTAATAAATTAAATTGATAATTTAAAATAGATCAGCAATTTTTGGTCACCCTGTATAAAATTAAGGAAGCAATAACTTTTTTCAGCAAAGTTTATTTCTCTACCTTTAAACTTAGCAGAAGAATTAATTCTGAAAAGTAAGGTACAGGGTGTTGATAGTCTGTTCTATTCTCGATTCTATTGTAGCATATTTAAATATCTTAGAAACCTAAGCTTATAAACATATTTAACCCTTACAATAAACCCCTTATTTTGTGTCCAAGGATCCAAATATGAAATAAAATACCGGGTGTTCTATAAGAAAAAATATAACTTTGTTGTGGATCTTACTTCTGACATATACCCTGTACAGCAAAATAAAACACTTTTACTTTTACACTAGACGCGCGTTTCGCTAACCATGTTAGCATCATCAGCAGATGATTATAAACTAAAATACAATCTACAATTGGAGCGTTTATATACTCGCTCAGTGGGCACAGAGTGGGCGTGGCAAGATCTAGCCAACCGAGTCAGAACACACCGAGCGTAACAGTTAAATTTCCGCCACTAGAGTAGTAGGAACAAAGAACTTGAAGGAATTAGACCGTTGTCTCTGTTCATACTATCTTTACATTTATTAATTCTGATGCTTTCATATGCATCTAATTGTCTGTAATTTGAAACTTGTTTAAGTAATTTTAAGTTATTAAGATCTATACAATGTTCTTTATCAACAATATGTTCGGCAACGCAAGATTTAGCAGGTCTACCATATCTTATCTGAGCTAAATGTTCTTTAAATCTAGTTAATATTGATCTTCTAGTTTGCCCAACATATTTCTGATTACAATCTTTACAAGAAATTTCATAAATACCCGGCCTTTCCAGTAGAGGTGTTTTATCTTTTGGATACTAATAATTGTTGTAATTTATTATTAGCACTATACACAAGTTTATAATTGACATTCTTAAAAATTCCTTTTAGACCACGGGATAACTGTCTACCAAACGGTATTGAAAAATATTTTGACGTATCTTTCTCCACTTGAAAAGTCGAATTTTCAGAAATCATTAACCTATACCTACGTTTATAGACTTGTAGACTTGTTCATAGACTTGTCCGGTTTATGAATTTTTGGCAACGCATAGAATTTTGGTAATGAGGTGGAGAAAGATACGTCAAAATATTTTTCAATACCGTTTGATAGACAGTTATCCCGTGGTCTAAAAGAAATTATTAAGAATGTCAATTATAACCTTGTGTATAGTGCTAATAATAAATTACAACAATTATTAGGTAATCCAAAGGATAAAACACCTCTACTGGAAAGGTCGGGTATTTATGAAATATCTTGTAAAGATTGTAATCAGAAATATGTTGGGCAAACTAGAAGATCAATATTAACTAGATTTAAAGAACATTTAGCTCAGATAAGATATTGTAGACCTGATAAATCTTGCGTTGCCGAACATATTGTTGATAAAGAACATTGTATAGATCTTAATAACTTAAAATTACTTAAACAAGTCTCAAATTACAGGCAATTAGATGCATATGAAAGCATCAGAATTAATAAATGTAAAGATAGTATGAACAGAGACAACGGTCCAATTCCTTCAAGTTCTTTGTTCCTACTACTCTAGTGCCGGAAATCTAACTGTTACGCTCGGTGGGTTCTGACTCGGTTGGCTAGATCTTGCCACGCCCACTCTGTGCCCACTGGGCGAGTATATAAACGCTCCAATTGTAGATTGTATTTTAGTTTATAATAATCTGCTGATGATGCTAACATGGTTAGCGAAACGCGCGTCCAGTGTAAAAGTAAAAGTGTTTTGGTGTATTATTGTGGTGATTTAGTGTTTTATTTTGCTGTGTAACACCAAAAGTTCCAACCCTCAACTGTAATGCCCTGTACATTTCAAAATAATTTTAAATTATGCACATTGCCTTCCCACATATACACATTAAATATTTTGTTTCTACATCTTTCCGTTTTCGTATAATCAATTAAGACGAATGAGGTTAGCCACCCTGTATGTAATTACACTACTAGAGTCATTAAAATAGTTAACCAATTGTATACAGTGTAAATAATTACAAACATAATTCCTAAAACTTACTGTCATTCGTAGACTCCACAATTTCTTGAACTAATCTATCCATCAAGATTTGTCTTTCAGACCAACTGAAAAAATCGCGGCATTTTGATTTGATTTTAAAAGTCTTTTCGATGTCATATATGGCTTTTGCTACGTGGCAATCGCACTTCGCTGTATCTATTTCTCCTTTGTGTGTGGTATTATCAACAATGCGACTACACACCATATTTAAAGCATCCTGGAAAAGCGCGTCCTCTTTAGCAGATACTTGTGTGTTAACATTCAATGTATAAGAAATTATATCTTTGCAAACGCCAATGATTATTTCTGGAGGATTATCATCCAGAATCTCCATTGCCCGTGTGTAAGCTTCCTTTCTGATCAACTTAAGGGCTATCGCATATTCGTTTTGTTGCCGCTCTATTTTGTTGGTATATAACTGACGAATATCGTCAACAGAGTCGACACCTTTCAGGTAAAAGATGCGGTTATAATAAAAACATTTCTAGAAAGTTAAAATTCATTGAATAGATAAATTAGGTATTCTATGCAATTTTACGTACATCCTTGGAAGAAGCAAATTGAGCCCAGGTAATATCATATTTTCTTAAAATATTTAGTTTAGGTTCTTCTTTGAGAAACTCTACCATTTCCTGAACCAGTGGATTTTTTGCCTCAAAATTAAAAATAATCTTTGATATTTCCCGTACTTGGTCGCTCCACGGTGTAGAAGCCGTTTCTAATATTAATTTAATAGCCTCCACTTTCTTATCGACACCAGTCATTAAGCTTAACAGAATTGCCACTAACTCTATACAATATTCTTCGTTATAATTCAACAAATTCTAAAATAAAAATACAAATTTATTTTAACACAACGAAAAAACAAATAGATCTTCAAAAAATACTTTAATTTCTTCTAGAAACAACGCATCTTTGTCAATATTATTTCTCTGTATAAAGGAGCACAGGAATTGTTTGGTAAACATCTCAAAAGTTTTGCTGTCCATATTTGTAGTAAATAATACTCTCACTGTGTCGGTGGGATCTGCAAGATAATCTGAAACGTGTAATTTGACTCCAAAATTATTCTGTAAGAGCTGAATATCTTTTAAAGCGTTCACAAGATTTCCCAGTTTATCTGGTGATTCTTCATTACTAAAGTGCTTTCTAAGTGGAACATTTATGTTCATTAATTTAGTCACATCTTCAATAAATCTAAAATAAGTAAATAATAAAAATGGATTCAACTTTTTATAGATTGTAATCAGAACTGCAAACTCATCAAGTCATTTGATTTTAATTTTTTTTTCGAAAGCTGACTTAAGACTAAGAAGAAAATTAAGTATTTTTGAAAATCATTTGTGATTTAAATCTTTATTCCGAAATAGAAAAAGATTTAAGTCTTTTTATGAAAGAATTAAGTAATTAAAAATATTTTTAAGACTTTTTATAAAAGGCTTAAGTCAGATTTTTATATTTTTTTGAAAAATTTTTAACGGCCAGCAATTCTTTTTAAACTGCTATGCGGCAGCCAAGCAGCAGAATAAAAAAAACAATGCTCGATAATACTAGTAAATAAAATGTTACTTTTTCCGAATCGGTTATGATTATTTGTCGCGTTACGCGTCTGTAGTGAGTCTGTTGTATTTCAAGTGAATCCCCGACTCCGTTATGTAGGCCGAAAGACGAACGAAAGAAATTTATCTTGAATATATTGAAGAGTACCTTAAAATCCTCCAGCCCTTATCTTATGCCATCGATATATTACATAGTGATCAAAACATATCACCACTTTTTAATAGACATTTAGACATGTATTCGATGACATCTATTTGAAATGGATACATATAAAGTACTACAAAATCAATTAAATTTTATAGAAAAAAACAACATATTTTTGTGTTTGTATTTATTCTGAAAATTAACTGTTTTATTTTATGTGGTTTTATGATTTAAGTTAAAATATAGACTTAAGTCATAAAAACGACTTAAATAACGCTATATTGATTTAAGTCATTACAAAAATGATTTGACTTGAAATAAAATGACTTAAGTCAAAGACTTAAATCAATTGAACTTTATGTTAAATTTAACTTAAAACTTAAATCATTTTGATTTTAGAAATGACTTAAAACTTAAGTCTTTTTAAAACTGACTTGTTGCAGCTCTGATTGTAAAGCAGCCCATACACTATCAAAATTGGGCAACAGGCTGTTGCACAACAAGTTGCCAATATATGGCCGTTTTATATGCAACGGGACTGTTTGCGCAACGCGTTGTGTAGTGTATGTGTGTGTTGCGCTTCGTTGTGCAACATTTTAGTTGCTAGCCGCTTTATTGGCGGGACGTCACTTGTTTCTCGAACAATGCACAACTTTTAATAAAAAGTTTGATCAAAATTTTGCCAAGTGTATGGGTGATGCAGTTATTGTGTAACGCAACGTTGAGCATCGCTTTGTTGCGCAATTTGTTTGATAATGTATGGGTCGCTTAATGTAAAATTTACTTTATTGCACATTCAGGAAAAGTAGCACTGTGTTGACTTTCAAGGAAATATACTCTTCCGTGGAGCCATGTGATAAATATAGTCAAAGTTCCTGGAAGGTATTTCAAAGATATAGGTATGAACGCCGTTAGAAAAGCATTGATATCTCCTCTGCACTGTAAAATACAAAAATAAGCAAATAACGGATCAGATTGAAGTTAGGCAATACCCTATCAACAACAAGTAAAATTTCTTGAATTTTCTCATCAGTCAGTAAATTAATGGAGTCCAAATCTAATCTATTGAAAATTATAATGGCTTCTTCAATATCATCCTGGAAAATATCAACCGTCAGGTATAATAAATATTTTTTTAATCTAACAAACCAACATTTTTCAAGAATCTCACAAGTTCGTCCAGTAAGTCACACTGCATAAAATGATTCCATTTCTGGTGGTTATAAGAATGATATATCAACATATATGTATCAAACAGGTGTAATCTTCTATTGAAAAGTATTTTGTTATGTAGAAGCGGATTGTCCTTGTTTTGATTCTGAAAATATTAAATAAAATATTTTACTTACGTACTTTTATTACTGGTGGGCAAAACTGTTATTTTTAAATAACAGTTCAAACTGTTACTGTTATTTATATATAACAGCTTAAAATAACAGATTTCTGTTATTTTTTTACTTTACTCTTAAACATCTAAAAGAGCATACACATTGTTCAAATTGTATTAAAATCATAAAAATCTTCATATTTATTGCTTAATAAAATATAATGTACTAAAATATAAAATTTATAAACAAATCAAAGTCTGTTTTAATTTTTAGAATATGTTTATTATATTATTAATAAATAAAAAAATAATTGATATTAAAAAAAATCAATATTAATATTTAAAAAAAATAATTAGCTTAGACAGTCTTCATTTATTTAAGTAGTTGAAAGTTAGGCAAGTAAAATTGTCTTTGAAGAGTTTTTAAAACGTAGCAAAAACAATGAAAGTACATATTTTTAAAAATATTAATAAAATAACTAAGTAATAACTTACAAAACAAAAACTTTAAAATGTATTAAATAAATATATAAAAATAAGTTTGCAGAAAGCAAAATAGTAAAAGAAACTTGATCAAAACGATTCTAACAGAAATTTAATAAAGACAATTTTCTTTAATTCATTTATAATTAATATTTTTATTTACCATGCATTATTGATGTCAAAAAATTGGGGCCGTGAGGCACGTTATACTAAAATATGTTAATATCTCGAAAACGGCGACTTGAGTTATTACAAATTTTGTTGCAAATATTATTCCTAATCTTAATTTGAAAACCGCGTTTCGCTAGCTACTGTAATTTTGGAGTTACGATTTTTTAAAATTTTTAACCCCCTCCCATACCCCCTTATCAACCTCCCCACCCCCACCAATAACTAATGGCCAAATTCTCGGGTGCCACAGTATTTTTGTGCCAAATTTGGTTAAAATCGGTTCAGAGGTTGTTGAGTTATCGTGTTACAGACGGACAGACGGACAGACAGACAGACAGACAGACAGACAGACAGACAGACACCATGAAAATATTTTGTATTTAGGTCATTTATGACCAAGTAGCTCATTTTGAGTGAAATTAAAAAAACTTTTTTGTCGATCCTAATAGCCTACCATACCTATTGGTATGGTCGGCTGAAAATACCCAGAAATCCGACAAAACAAAATCACTTTTAAACTATTAAAACAAATTCAGACTGTCAATGTTTTAGAAAACGCAAAATACCCTTTAGTTATATTTTTTTGCAAATATATGTATTAAAAATTAACTTCTAACGCCACCGTACACCGCGATCGACCGACACAGGCGAAAAAGCTATTATTTTCCAACTCCGCTTATCTTGACAGCCGCCCGTTATGCTCGTAACAGGTTAAAAAACAACATATCTAAAATAACTGCTTATTTCCTATACGTTATTCTCCAACTCGTTGCCAACCCAACATCGACAATCGACCGATACAGCAGCGTTACTTTCCCACTCCTGTTATTTCAACCGCGTTATGCTCGCAACTAGTTAAAAAAAAAGTTTATTTTATATACGTTATTTTTAAGCTGTTACAAGCCCACGACCGATGCAGCTACAAACACGACCGATGCAGCAACGTTCGCCGTAGTGCATTCCCCACTCCGCTGTATCTCGACTGCCGTTCGTTATAGATGGTTGTCGAAATCTGAGATTTTTCATACTAATTATTTTTTGGAATTGCTTCGAGCCGCATAGAATTTCGTAGCGATGGCGAGAGCCGACTTCGTATCACGAACGGTCTATCCTGAGGTATCGTTATTTTATATCTGTTATTTTTAGAAGTAGCAATGGTTGCGTTATGTTATTTCTAAATAACTGTTATAAAATAACAAATAGTTAAATAACAACCCATCTCTAATTTTTATAGTAAAAAATAGAAAAAAAAAATATATACCGAATCTCGAACATCAATTTCCATAAAAGCTGCATAATATATAACCCTTCTTGCATCATCCCCTGCTTCGCATTCAACAATATCACAACAGTTCATTATAAATTGCTGGTCAGATATATTAGTAAAAATATCAAATAGCTGATCAATATCACTGGTTTTGCATGATAACTTATTAACAATATGTTGAGCCCTTGCTTGAGCAACAATTTCCATACTAATGTTGTATTTTTCTGCAAAAAGTTCTGCCTCTTCGAATTTCGCCTTTTGTAAAAGCCTTTTCAGTTTCAATTCTGGATCAGCTTCATAAATACATTGCAAACGTATCTCTTCCAGGCAATTATTTTTGAAAATTTTAGAGAAAAATAATGCTTCTTCTTTGCTGGAGTCCATCTGGGTTAAACAAATTGGGTTCATTACAGGTATTGAATAAATCGTATTTAAATCTGAAAAATTATATTATTAGAAAAAATAAAGTATTGTTCCGATTCACCAGATATTACCTGGAAATTGGCATAATTCTATATAAGATTTTCCATCAGATTTTTTATGAGTTACACCTGTCATTAGATATTTTCCCTCGCGTTCGCTATCGGTAACAAAAATTAAGTCTTCAAAACTGTTTTGAATTGCTGGATAAGTTTTATTGATGCAGAAAACAAAAAGAAACGGGTTAATCATGTAAATATCTCCGTTTTGGCTATAAGCTAAATAATTCCTAAAAAAATAAACCTATATTCTAGATATTCGCAAATAAATATATAGTATGTTCAGCCATCGTTCATCGTCACGTCATATATTGTCGAACTCTCTCCATCACTTGCCAACCAGATGAAAGAGATTGGTGACGTCATTACCAAACCAAACCAAAACAAAATTCAATTTTTTTTATTAGGCCAAGAATACAGGCCTTCAAATGCGAGGTTTTGGTAAAAAGTTGAATTTTTGATATGTTACTTTAAAAGATCTAAAAACGAATTGTAAAAGATTTTTTTAAATTCGCCTCCAAAACGGCATAACATAAATAAATAAAGTAATTTTTTCGAAATTTCGGAGCAACGGTAAGGATTAGAAAAATAAAGTTAAATAAAAGTTGTAGAGCGTCAGATTTCACATAAAAATGGGCTCTATTTTATTACGGCACCTTCTCCAGCAAGGGTTTGGTTTGGTTTGGTTTGACCGTTTCGTCTACCCGGCCTGGGTCAACCAGGCGGGCTAGACGATCCTCTGAGAGTAGGTCTTAGCGGAGCCGAAACACGGAGATATCTCCGACTGCTCCAAGAAGGACTTGCTCCAGAGGAAGCAAAAGCAAAAACACTCCTCCGAAAAGGGGAGAGTAAAGAAACCAAGAAACAACCTGACTCATCTCCATCAAAGGGTAAGAGAGGGAGCGGGAACCTCTCACCTCTACTCTGGCAGGGAGAGAAAAAAGCCAGGATGGAAAGCCGACCAACACCGGGAGGCAAGCAGGGATGTATCACCAGCTTTGCCGCTGTTCCTGGACAAGTGAAAATGGCGATGCTGCCAAAGGATTTCCCAGAGGTTGCTCCGACCAGCAAACGTCTCTAGAGGAGGCTATACTGGACGAAGTAGTGGCGATCGTATCGCATCACAACGATCTACAAAATGTGAGTCAGCTGCAATCCTCATAGATTGTGTATCTCAAGAATCGGCGAATTGGTTGGTGGAAATCGCACCTAAGCTTAAAAAATGGCAGGGGCCGGAACTGGTTGCAGTGAGGGGAGAAAACATCCCTAAAGGGGTGGCCATTACGGTCTTTCTGTCGAGGAGCAAGGGGAAAGACACCACCTACCTGCTGAGCCTTATTCAGGGTCAGAACTTCAATGTAAGGACATCGAGTTAGCGACCCATCAACTCGAGGGAGGAGGGTCATGGTCAGGTCCTCACAATAGGAATTGACCTCAAATCCAAGGAGGCAATAGAGAAAGAGGGACATATCCTCTATTATAGATACGGGACAACACCGGTATCAGGTCTAAGAAGAAACCAAGTTAAAGAGGTGGAGAAAATGGAGACAAATCCTCCAGCCTCCACCCCACGGGTTCCTCAGCCGGAAGCAAGCTGCTCGACTGTGAAGGGCGGCACGGAGGGCCAAACTCCAACCGTGGAAGGATGTGTACCCTCGGAGGAAGAACTGTTGTCAGAGGAGATACCCCTCTACAACAGAGGTATGATGGGTTATAGACTGTGTGATGACTCGAGGAAGGGGGCACAATAGATTTTTAAGGTCTTACTCATTCTATATTCTACATGTTAGGAGTTGAACGGCAAAAATACAAACGCACTAAAACAAAAATTATATTTTTAAATGTCATTATTCAATTCTATAAGAGTTTAATACATTTTTAATCGCAAAAAAGTATTGCATTAAACTTGTAAATGTGTTTCATATATTGATCTATTATGATGACATTAGAAGATTGCGCTCTCTTAGAGAATATCTCATAAATGTAAAAACAGTTTATGTGTATAAATTACTTAACACGTTTATAATACACTTAAAAAAATGAATAAAATAAAAAAATATATATACGTGTCTCATATGTTGATATATTATGTGAAATTGTAGATGTGGACTCTTATTTTCATGGTAATACTAAAATATTAAAATTTTAATAAATCATTTTGTGTATAAAAATCATATAAATACGCGTACACAGCCAAGGAACACTGGAACACCCTGGACGCCGTATATGAAGAAAGTAAAATGCAAAGTTATAATAGCGTTTTTAAATAATCTAGCTAGTTGCTGATGCTTTAGAAATAGGAATTTCAACAGTCCAAAGGATTTGAATTAAAGGGATCGTAACTGATGAAGAGTTCAAGAAAAAATTAATAAATGCCGAAAAAAAACTCGCTCAATCCATAATATAGTAACGTACTATTTTCTAAACAATATGAACTGGTCTCAGACACACCCTAAAACTGATATTTGACAAATAATGATGACGTAACGGTGAACGATGGTCTGAATTGTCTTTAAAACATACATTCCCAAATGCTTAATCAACTTTAGTCCAATTCGTTCAGTGGTGCTGTATTTTCCATTGTCTATGTCCAACAATATCAACTCAGATCCTTCCAATAAGATAGAAGAATGGCCATAACAACTTATATTCATTTTTCTCTCTAGGTCTTGGATAATCTCTGCTTCAAATTTAGTACCGTCTATTAATCTGATTCTAAAACACAAACCCCTCTTTTACGCAAATTTGATTTTATGTATAAATTTTAGGGTTGGCATGATTTAAATCAAGTGATTGTAGTAACTTTTTTTAAAACTCTATAATAAATCGACAAATAACTGTAAAAGTTATGAAAAAATATTTCATCCATTACACAATGGTAGAGAATTAGAAAGTAGAATTAGAAATGATACAGATTTATTTTGAAATTTATGTACAAGTAACAAAAATCTGCTGTTCAAATACATTTTGTTATCGTTTAGTTATCGGTATCGGGTAAAGTTAAAGATCTAGCCATTTAGGATAGAAGTTTAATTGGAAATAAGTCCTAATTATTTGGAAATCCGATTTAAAAAGCGTTCTCAATTAAAATAAAAAAAAACTGATTTAAATAAAAAAATCCGATTTTTTTTAAAATCATGAGTTTTACCCTGAAAAACTGACCTTTTTATTAATCCAAAGCTGGTCACAACACAAAAATTACCAGTCTTATCAGCAAAACAATGAATAAAAAAAATTTCAGTATATTCATGATCAATTTTCCTAAAAAAAATATTTCAGTTTTATGTTACCATATTTCGAAAGAATATTAATTCATACTCGCTAAATATAGGGCTAAAATCGAATTCCATTGTAGAGTTTTCTGTATCAGATAAGTATAAGGATGATATATTAATAATAGTTATCTTTCCATCTCTTGTACAGACCATAATATGATTTCCGGACACACAAAAACCATCAATACGATGACTGAATTCCCAGAAAGCCAGTTCTTTCAACATTTCCTTACCTTTCATTATCCTTAACACATTATTGATGCTAAAGAAAATCCTGCCCTCATAAACATAAGACAAAATATCTAGAGCTTCAGTTCCCTAAAGTAAATATTAAATTAATATTATCTCAGACATAATATGAGTAGTCTAAGATCTGGCTGCAGGATTAGTATTGTTACGTTTTTCGTCGGTTCCGTGTGGATAGAAAGTCACAATTTATTTAAACACAATTATTTAACACTAATTAACAAAAACAATAACGATAAAAGACTTAAAAAACTATTTACAAACGATTTATAACTATTTATCTAGAAAGAATTTATTTTGAATTTTAGCGCGTCAACTGTACTCGTCTATTTATTTCTGTCCTCCTCAGGCCCCAGCCAGTTTATATTATATTATTTCTTTTGGTCAGCTAAAGAGTTCTCGAATAATCCGTAACAGCCGAGATTTCCATTCGTCCTTGAACGGCGCCAAGCGTATTAGTCAGCTTAGACCGGGTTCACACGGGTCGGCAACATTGCCCCCTTCTTAGATACATGCTCGTCCCGAGATGTATACGGTGAATGAAGGTATTGCAAAGCTGGCCTCTGGTACATTGAGAAGTCTGGTAGAAATAGCAGTCTACAGTTTTCTCTCCCCATCTCAGCTTTGGGTTGTAGCAGCAAACGAGGATCTCGATACCCGTAAATCTAAACAAGACTTCAATGTTCCGGATTGTACGCCAACTCAAACCATCGAGTCCACACGCCAGCTTCGGAATGGCTAATCGTGCAATGTTGTTGTTTAGCAGGGCTTCTCTCAGTTCAATCAGGGTCTTCCATAGATTGAGATAAGTCGGCTTATTCGGTGACCATTCCTTGGTGACCATGTAGAAGATGTGCCTTGCTTGACCATGTGCATTGTCGGTTAGCCTCAAGACGCTTCCAACCTCTGGATCCTGTCGGCGTAGTTCTCCGACACACCCAAACTTCTCATTGAACATCGCAGCGATTCCTCTAGACATTCGCAAATCTCGGGCTACACAGTGAGCAAGCGAATAATCAGGAGGCACGGAAAAGAGGTCCCGTTGTTCTTCTTTAGTCACACCATAGCGAGCCTTCTCACTGCTGTTATAACGAGCCATAAAGTCGTCAAAATACATCTCCGAATCAGGGGGATCGAAGCTGCAGGTTCTCACAGACCCAGCACGATCTTCTATTTCGCCTTGGTAGGGGCTCAAACGATTAAAATGGTTTACGATACTTGGTTTCTTGGTTTTCCTTTTGGCAATTTCCTGATACGGTATACGACGTCATTAATCCTATCCATGACTTCGTATGGCCCTTCCCACAAGGATTGTAGCTTCGGAGATAATCCACGACGTCTCTGCGGGTTGTATAGCCACAACAAATTCCCTGGTACACCACCCCGTATTCAAAACCATTTGCCGGTCCGTAGGAAAAGGGCCAAGTTCAAAAAACCGCTGTTTTTCTTGAAAATTAACAGAAAAAAAATTGTAGCTCATTTATTAAGGGTTGTGCCGCAACGAGACCACCTGGAAACGATGTACAGATGACAAGGGTACACCACCCCGTATCTAAAACCATTTACCGGTCCGTGGTGGAAAAGGGCCAAGTTCAAAACCGGGCTGTTTTCTTGAAAAATTAACAGAAAAAATTGAAGCTCATTTATTAAGGGTTGTGCCGCAAACGAGTCCAATCTTGGAAACGATGTACAGATGACAAGCGGGTACACCACCCCGTATTCTCCAAAACCATTTTGCCGGTCCGTAGGAAAGGGCCAAGTTCAAAACCGCTGTTTTTCTCTTTGAAAATTAAGAGAAAAAAAAAAATTGTAGCCCATTTTATTAAGGATTGCGCCGCAACGAGTCCACCTGGAAACGATGTACAGAGATGACAAGGTACACCACCCCGTATTCAAACCATTTGCCGGTCCGTAGGAAAAGGGCCAAGTTCAAAACCGCTGTTTTCTTGAAAAATTAACAGGAAAAAAAAATTGTAGCTCATTTATTGCTGGCTGTGCCGCAACGAGTCCGCTATCTGGAAACGATACAGATGACAAGGGTACACCACCCCGTATTCAGTCCGTAGGGAAAAGGGCCGTTCAAAACCGCTGTTTTCCTTGAAAATTAACAGAAAAAAATTGTAGCTCATTTATTAACGGTTGTGCCGCAACGAGTCCACCTTGGAAACGATGTACAGATGACAAGGGTACAATTCACCCCTGTATTCAAAACCATTTGCCGGTCCGTAGGAAAGGGCCAAGTTCAAAACCGCTGTTGTTCTTGAAATTAACAGAAAAAATTGTAGCTCATTTATTAAGGGTTGTGCCGCAACGAGTCCAATTTGGAAACGATGTGTATAGATGACAAGGGTACACCACCCCCGTATTCAGTCCTTGTAGGAAAAGTACAAGTTCAAAAACCGCTGTTTTTCCTTGAAAATTAATAGAAAAATTGTTGCTCATTTATTGTTATTGTGCCGCAACGAGTCCACCTGGAAACGATGTACAGATGACAAGGGTACAATCTCACCCGTATTCAAAAACCATTTAACGGTCCGTAGGAAAGGGCCAAGTTCAAAAACCGCTGTTTTTCTCGAAAATTAACAGAAAAATTGTAGCTCATTTACTAAGGGTTGTGCCGCAACGAGTCCACCTGGAACGATGTACAGATGACAAGGGTACACCACCCCGTATTCAAAACCATTTGCCGGTCCGTTGTAGGAAAAGGGCCAAGTTCAAAACCGCTGTTTTTCTTGAAAAATTAACAACAGAAAAAAATTGTAGCTCATTTATTAAGGGTTGTGCCGCAACGAGTCCACCTGGAAACGATGTACAGATGACAAGGGTACAATTCACCCCATATTCAAAACCATTTGCTGGTCCGTAGGAAAAGGGCCAAGTTCAAAAAAACGCTGTTTTCTTGAAAATTACCAGGAAAAATTGTAGCTCATTTTAATGTTGGCTTTCAGCCGCAACGAGACCACCTGGAAACGGGATGTACAGATGATAAGGGTACAATTCACCCCGTATTCAAAACCATTTTGCCGGTCCGTAGGAAAAGGGGGCCAAGTTCAAAACCGCTGGGTTTTCTCTCTTTGAAAATTAAATTTCAGGAAAAAAATTGTACCTCATTTATTATATTGTGCTGCAACGAGTCCACCTGGAAACGATGTACAGATGACAAGGGTACAATTCACCCTGTATTCAAAACCATTTGCCGGTCCGTAGGAAAGGGCCAAGTTCAAAACCGCTGTTTTTCTTGAAAATTAACAGAAAAAAATTATTAGAAGCCATTTATTATATTGTGCTGCAACGTCCACCTGGAAACGATGTACAGATGACAAGGTACACCACCCCGTATTCAAAACCATTTGCCGGTCCGTAGGAAAAGGGCCAAGTTCAAAACCGCTGTTTTTCTTGAAAATTAACAGAAAAAATTGTAGCTCATTTATTAAGGATTGTGCTGCAACGAGTCCACCTGGAAAACGATGTACAGATGACAAGGTACACCACCCCGTATTCAAAACCATTTGCCGGTCTGTAGGAAAGGGCTGTTCAAAACCGTTGTTTTCTTGAAAATTAACAGAAAAAAATTGTAGCTCATTTTATTAAGGGTTGTGCCGCAACGAGTCCACCTTGGAAACGATGTAACAGATGACAAGTGTACACCACCCCATATTCAAAACCATTTGCCGGTCCGTAGAAAAGGCCAAGTTCAAAAAACCATTGTTTTTCTTGAAAAATTCAATAGAAAAAAAATTGTAGCTCATTTATTAAGGGTTGTGCCGCAAACGAGTCCACCTGGAAAACGTGATGTGGCCAGATGACAAGGGTACACCACCCCGTATTCAAAACCATTTGCCGGTTCGGTAGAAAAGGGCCAAGTCTAAAAACCGCTGTTTTTCTTTGGAAAATTAACAGAAAAATTGTAGCTCATTTATTAAGGGTTGTGCCGCAACAAGTCCAATCTGGAAACGATGTACAGATGACAAGTACACCACCCCGTATTCAGTCCGTAGGAAGGGCAATAAGTTCAAAACCGCTGTTTTTCTTGAAAAATTCTCAATAGAAAAAATTGTAGCTCATTTTATTATGGGTTGTGCCTGCAACGAGTCCACCTGGAAACGATGTAATAGATGACAAGGGCGTACAATTCACCCCGCATTCAAAACCATTTGCCGGTCCGTAGAAAAGGGCCAAGTTCAAAACCGCTGTTGTTCTTGAAAATTAACACAGAAAAATTGTAGCTCATTTATTAAGGGTTGTGCTGCAACGAGTCCACCTGGAAACGTGATGTAATAGATGACAAGGGTACACCACCCCGTATTCAGTCCTCGTGGTGAAAAGGGCCAAGTTCAAAACCGCTGTTTCTTTGAAAATTAACAGAAAAAAAATTGTTGCTCATTTATTATGGGTTGAGCCAAAGTAACGAGTCCACCTGGAAACGATGCGGGCTAGATGACAAGGGTACACCACCCCTGTATTCAAAACCATTTGCCGGTCCGTAGAAAAGGGCCAAGTTCAAAACCGCTGTTTTTCTTGAAAATTAACAGAAAAAAATTGTAGTTTACATTTACTTCGGTGGGTTGTGCTGCAAACAGTCCACCTGGAAAACGATGTATTGAGATGACAAGGGTACACCACCCCGTATTCAAAACCATTTGCCGGTCCGTAGGAAAGGGCCAAGTTCAAAACCGCCAGTTTTTCTCTTGAAAATTAATGAAAAAATTGTAGCTCATTTATATGGTTGTGCCGCAACGTGAGTCCACCTGGAAACGATGTAAATAGATGACAAGGGTACACCACCCCATATTCAAAACCATTTGCCGGTCCGTAGGAAAAGGGCCAAGTTCAAACCGCTGTTTTTCTCTTTGAGAAAATTACCAGAAAAAATTTGTAGCTCATTTTACTAAGGGTTGTGCCGCAACGAGTCCACCTGGAAACGATGTGGCCAGATGACAAGGGTACACCACCCCGTATTCAAAACCATTGCCGGTCCGGTTGTAGAAAAGGGCCAAGTTCAAAAACCATTTTTCTGAAATTAACAGAAAAAATTTTCAGCTCATTTATTAAGGGTTGTGCCGCAACGAGTC